ATGAAATGGGGTAACATTGACACAGGCTGAGCATCCCTGATTCAAAAATCTGAAGTCTGAGATGCTTCAAACGTGCTAAATGTCTTAAGCACCAAAGTGATAGACCACACATGGAAAATCTCATACCATGAAACTGTTTCATGCCCACAGTTACTAAAAATATTGGGCAGGATTATTGTTTTAACTTGGGGTGATAGACACCATGACAAAAACACAAAACCTGGAAGGAAAGGATTTATTTCAGTTTACCTGTTACAGTCTATCATGGGGGAAGCCAGGACAGGAACCTGGAGGCAGACCTGAAGTGGAAGCCACGGAGGAATGCTGTTCACTGGCTTGCTTTCAGGCTGTCATCAACTGCTTTCCTTATACACCCTAGGATAACTTTCCCAGGTGGCCCCGCCCACAGTGGTCTGTGCCTTCTCTATCAACAAGAAAATGCCCCCAGACAGGCTCACAGACCAATATGATGAAGGCAATTGCTCAGCCGAGGGTCCCTCTCTTATGTCCTTTGAGTTTGTGTCGGTTAACTAGAACAATTGCCTTCAGCCTATTTGTATGAGATGTACATGAAATATAAGTAAATTTTGTGTTTAGACTGGGGTCCCTCAAGGTATGTTATTTTGTATTGCAGATATTTTAAAATCCAAAGAAGCCATCCCTTTGGTCCCAAGCTGCTGGTCCCTGTACCACTTTCACAGGATCATTGTGGTCAGTCAGTGCTGAGTGTGTGACATGCAGTCACTGGTGGAGATGCAAACACATTGTAAAGAAGGAGAGGTCACTGTGTGGGAGGAAGTGCGTTTTGAACTGTCTCAAAGGTTCAGGACTCCTGAAGCTACTCTGGCCTTCATTTCACTCTTTTCTGTTGTCTTGGCAGTGTTTCCTCACCTGCTTGGCTGCCTGGGAGCTTCTCATGGGTATTCACTGCCTCGGTATTTCATCATAGCCCTCTTCTTACTTCTTGTTCCCTGGGACCTGCCAGAGTCTGGTAGCAGTACTGTTGGCTGCTTTCCCATGCTGTTTCTTCCAGCATGTCTGTCCTCTCCCTCTCTTGATTGGGTAGCATCTTCTTTAATTATCTCCAGTGTCATCTACATAGTAGGTACTTTATACTGCTGTCGCTTTACTGAAACTCAGGCTGGGCACCTCAGGGTCCTGGCACAGTGCTTCGGGCTGATTCAGGCTGAGCTAAGTTTCTATTCAGGGCCTGCAGTTTCCTGGTAGGCCTGGCAAGTCAAGGGCCGCAGCAGTTTTCCTTACCATCGTGGAGCCACCACGCTTCTGGGTAAAACTGTCTGGCCAAGAGACACAGACTTTCATTTTTGAGAAAGGAAACCCTTCCCAAGTGATGGAAAATAAGCTTTTGCTTAGTGACTAATAACATAAACACAGACAAGATTTCTGAGCTTATAAATAACCAGTTGTAAGAGTGCCAAGGGGAACAGCCCATTTTGTGAGAAGAATGGTCACGACTATTCCTCCCACCTCTGTGATAGTGACCATAGTCATGGGTAAGGAGCCTCAGGTCTAGTTGTAGAAACTTGTCATTCCTCGGTGCCAATTCCCAAGACCTTACCCATACCCATTATGGGGACTGGGCTATTCTGGAAAAGGAATAGCTGTTATGGAAGAGCTGCCCAAGAGTCAGGTGACAAAGTCCTTCAAGTGGGACCCAACACAGTGCTGAGTCAGCTCATGGATCCTGTCCTCACATTCTCTCAGGGCCATTGCTTGATGAGAGCCAGGAGGAAGGACTGGTATGTCTGGATGGTGACAGAGGCTGATAGTACAGTCCTGTCCTGTCCTGGTCCTGCTTGCACTCTCTGTAATCTGAGCCTTGCCTTACCCTTTATAAAATAGGAAGGTTAAAGGTCCACACCCATGTGACATCATTCACACAAAAGGCTTCTTAGCACAGGGCTGGCACATGGTAGGCCTACAGTCTGTGGTGATGTTGTTAAGAAAGAGCTCAATAGGCTTCAGCAGCCTCCTTGACCAGTCACTGTGCTCTCCAGTGCAGAGTTCTCTTTGGCATTTAACTCATCTAATGTGATATTTGAGCATTGGCCATAAACTTGGCCTGCCTCCTATAGAGGGTGCAGATGGTGTCCCAGAGCCAGGCCTAGCCACATGGGGAATTCTATGGTCTTGCCGACCGCGCATGACAAGGGGGTGGGTGGGTGTGATGCCATCATATGTGTCCAGTGTTTCCTGTACTGTGTCCAGAGCCCTTCCTCTGGATGTAAGTGGGAACATGGAGGTATCCTGGTTCACCTGCAAAACCTAAGAAAAGAACCTGATGTCCAGGGGCAGCTCTGTTTAGTCACCAAGTCCTCCCCCCACCCCACAACACCTTGCAGGATCTGTGCTCCAGAAAGGAGATCCACACTGGTCTTCTGCTTCTAAGCCATTTGGCAGTGGGGTGACAGAGAGGGGTTAGAAGTCAGTGAGGATGGAGCTGTGGTGGAGTGACAATTGTAAGGGGACCCAGAGTGTGTATTTTGGAAGTCACACCATCAGGCCATGCCAGCAGAAGTTACTTAGTGAAAACTGTCACACTGAATGATGTTGAACAAAGTTGAAAAGGGAGGAGCCAGCCCCTGGGATAGTCCTGTCTGTGGGAGGCATGCTACCTGTTCTTTAGGTGACAGTCCCAATCTCCATAAAGGGTGATCCGGAGTCTGTGATGTGAGGTCCTTGTTTATTTTATGGGTCAAAGCACTTAACTCTTTTATTCCTTCACCCTGCCTTAAAAAAAAGTTTGGAAGCTTGCTGCTTTTCCTGTGCATGCCACTCCTTCATTTTTGCAGCTCAAACCATGTATCCCGAGGATAGTTAATGAAAAGTGCACTCCAGGCTGAAAACCTGGTAGGAGCCAAAATGGCTGGGTACAGAGAGGCCAGCAGACGCCCAGCAGTCAGTGTTATCTGGCTGTCCCCTTTCCTCTCCCCGCTTCCTACCTCCTTCCCATTCATTTTATCGGAGAGGGTTGGCTGGACTGGAAGGAGCCAGAAAGGAGCTGGCGGGGGTGGATGGTGACCTAGCAGCCAGTGACACGGTTTGTGAGGACAGGGGACCAAGCCTTAGGCAGGTTTCAGTTCAACTCAGTTGCTCATTGCATGTGTGTATTTTGGTGCCAGGTGCTGGGGTCCAATAATATTAAAATAAAACTGTAACAGCCGTTACTGAGTGCTAAGCATCTACCATCTTGTTATCAGTGCATTTCCCCAACAGTTCTAAGAAATGTTTTCTGATTTCACACTTGGTGTAACGGAAGCACAGACAAGGTAAGCAATTTCCTAGCGTTCCACAGCCAGCAAGGACAAAATCCTGGGTTTTAGTTCTTTCAGCCCAAGCTCAGAGTCCAGGCAGAGAAAAATGGATATATGGGCCAGGATGTAAGAGGCAGAAGGCATGTGGTATATAGATAAATACGAGCAAAGGCTGCATCGATGCATCCCTGGCCAGGATAGGGAGGGCTAAGGGTAGGGGGAGAGCAGGGAGGTGGGAGCAATAGCTCGTGCATAAATGTAAGAAATGTAAGTGACAGTTCTGGGTTGTTGGACATTGAGGTGGTCTGGGAACAGTTGAAGCTGGCAAGGTGGAGGTGGGTGGAAGGAGGGTCTGGACCCTCTGCATCTTCTATGAAGGATGCACTGGAGATGCTTGTACTTAGTCGTGTCTTCACTTTAAAGACTTCTTACTTGAAAGCCTGAAAGGCTCCTGTGGCAATGGGGTGACTGGAGTGGCACCGAGGACGTGGAGCCGTCACTCCTCCTTGGCTTTTTCTCTTCTGCTCATGTGTTGGCCTTTGGTGTCTGTCTGGAACCCAGAGTTTGGTTATAACAGCTGGAATATGTCAGTTGGGAGAGAGCCTTGACAAACATTGTGGAAAAAGATACCTGCGATAGGAGGAGGCAGGGTGAGAAGGGCCTGGGGTTGGAGGCAGAGACACCCAGATGCAGAGGAATGCAGGGATCCTGACTCCTTAGTCATGCCAGGGCCCACTGCTAAGTGATTCTCCTCAGCTCTCAGGGAAGCCTCCTCCTCCAGTGGATCTGCACCCAATCTCGGAAGCATTACCTGAGGCTTCTGCAAACCTCACAGCCTCCATAGGCCCCATTAGCTTCTTCCTTGACTTTCAAATGGTAAAATTTCAAATGTTCCCTGGTGGTGTGCTGTAAGGTTTAAATGAATGAAACAGGTCCAAGCAGGGCCCATAGGATGGTGGTGTGGTGAAATGAATCAAGCTTGATATGAAAAATGGGAAGTCCAAATGGTTTTGAGCAAAGAGAAAGAGATAACAGATGGGGGACCGAGAGGCTTTGCTGGAGATGTGGTACCCACCCTGTCTGCCTCAGATGGGTGATGAGTGGTAGCGTGTGTGTGTGTGTGTGTGTGTGTGTGTGTGTGTGTGTGTGTGTAGTGTGTGTGAGTGTGTATGAGCTGTGGAGGACGTGGGGGTCAGTGGACAACCTCCAGAGTCGGCACTCATGTTCCACCTTGTGTCCAACTGTCTCTGATTTGGTGCTGTGTAAGCCAGCCTGGCTCATGTGGCTTCCGGGGACTCCGAGTTTCACCATCCCTGTGTAGAGATACTGCATTTGACTTTTACCTGGTTTATAGGGTTCTGAGCTCACATCCGGCAACAAGCCCTTTACCTGAACCATCGACACAGTCCTGTGCTTGTGTTGTTAATTCTCCTCTATCCTCTCCACAGAGAACTAAGCAGGGGTAGGAGACTGGTGAGAAATGACCTTGTTAATGGGAATGGGGTCTGCACCAAAGACCCAGGTATGTTTCTGTCAACTGTACAAGGCAGGGACAGAGTGAAGCTACCATTGTCCCAAGTCCTCCTAATGCTGAAAGCACAGCTTTGTGACTCCACCCCCATCTGGCCCAGTGACATCTCCATGGTCCTCTTTGCTTCATCTCCGAAGTCATAATTAGTCCTGCTGGCTAACAGTGTTTGTTTATTTCCCTCCCCTCCCCCACAGTGTTTGAGAACAAAGATAAGATTGTGATCATCATGGAATATGCCAGCAAAGGAGAGTTGTATGATTACATCAGCGAGCGGAGACGCCTCAGTGAGAGGGAGACCAGGCACTTCTTCAGGCAGATCGTGTCTGCTGTGCACTATTGTCACAAGGTATGGTGGGGCTTTCCACTTTGCCTGTAGATGGCCTTCTGACACCTCATGACACATTTAATATCATAAAAGCCTTGTTAGTTGATCGTGACATGTGCGGAGAATTTACCAAGTAGAGAGAATAATCCCTCTATTCAAATCCCATGTGTGTATGTGCAGGTATGTTCATTTGTGCATGTGTGCGTAGAGGCCAGAGGTCACTGTCAAGTGTCCTCCTCAGTTACTTCCCACCTTAATTTTAGAGACAGGGTCTCTCACTGAACCTGGAGCTCGCCAGCTCCACTAGACTGGCTTGCTAGTGAGCCCTCAGGATCTGCCTGTCTCTGTATGTCAGTGCTAGGGTTGTAGACGTGCACCCCACAACCTTTGGTTGACCTCTGTGGACCTGAGAGACACTTCTGATCAGATGTGTCCTCAAGTGACACTGGAAAGCACCACAGACAGCACTTCCGTTATCTGAAGTGTGTGAACGAGTGGCTTCTGTATGAATGGGACTTTCTTAGACTTGTTCCATCTACTGTCAGCCAGGAATGTGACCATGTGAACCAAACTTCCTTCAGTATTTAAACAGAACCTGCTTGCCTGTTCTCCATGTCTCTTCTCCAGGAGACCTGGTTTTTCAATCACCTTCTCAGAGCCTGGATCAGCAAAAACAATAGTACAGGGATACATATAGACTCTCTCCAGTCTCGGATTGTGGAGATGTTAGAAGCTATCACACAGGAAGGAAAACAAATTACAAAGAACCAACTGTAGTCATGCCATCAGTTTGTGCATCACAGCAGCTTCCTCTGAGGAAGCCATTTCTGCAGAATGATGTTGGGGACCCACTCCTCATCACGTTCACACAGCCCCCAAGAATTTTTTTAGTCTTCTGCTTTTCCTGCCCACCAGCTCCTGGGAGCCTTGCAACAGGCCCAGCATTCCTGCTGGGCAGAGCCATGTCCCCAGCACTTTGGTGTCCTCTTCCCTGTAAGCTGCTCTGAAGTTCAGCTTCCAGAATGGTCAGAGCTTGCCCGAATGAAAAGGGCATGCAGTGTGACAGTCCCCAGTGGCTCTGGCTCATTGACCTGCAACCACATCTCCGTTTTCATCAGCTCTGACTCCTGCAGAATGGAGAGAGGGACTTTCAAGTCTTTCCAGCTGGCTGCTTAGGAAGTATCCCAGACAAAGCTTAGGAGACTGGATCAGGCCCCTTTCCAGCATGAGGGATGCATGCAGGCAGGCAGACAGACAGACATGCAGGCAGGCTGTCCCTGGAGTCCTATGCTCTGAGTCCCCAACTGAGATGTCTGCTGTTTCCCAGGAACCCCACCTCAGACAGGGTCTGCATCGCCTCTCACAGCAGAATTACATTCCCACAAAGAATCCCCCTGCCAGTTTACAGGCTCTGGGGGAGAATGGATTCCAGTCATTTTTCCTTTAACCACACAGCAAGTGACTAATGCTCTCCTGTCGCTGGACGCTGTCTGGGGAGAGTCCTGACAGGGGAGCAGGCCTGAAGGATGGAGGTGAAGACCACCGGGGCTGGTGCATTTCTTTCATCTGTCAGACTGTCCCCTCTGCGCCCCACTGTCCCCAGATCGCCTACTGTCTATCATCCCACCGGCTCCTGTTCAGTTCTTCCCTGTTTTCTCATTGCAGAACGGTGTGGTCCACCGGGACTTGAAGCTAGAGAATATACTGCTTGATGACAACTGCAATATTAAGGTAAAGCTCAGACAGGGCCTGAGTATTGCGGCTGGGTGTGGCAAGTGGGTGTGGCTTCCCATAGGGCTGGGTCTGAGGCAGCCACTATCTCAGCTGACAGGCTGGCTCTGGGAAAAACTCCCAGCAATCAGCTCATTCAGTTTAATTCAGTCAGCAGGCATTACGGAATTGCCTACAGCCTACCTGACTCGCCTCTTTCAGCTAGGACAGCAACTGACACATGGTCCCTGCCTACAGGAAGCCCACAATCTGGAATTCTCGATACAAAAGCAACAAATGTATTTCCTATGTATTTCAGCTCCTACTTACTACTCTCATAAATCCCTCTTTCAGACAGCATATGAGATGGGCGGCATTTCAATTGTAACTCACATAAACATAGGCACAGATAAGTCGGATAGCACATCCAGGTTGTAGTCTGATCCCCGACAGTCCAAGTTTATGTCACTATGCAGATATGATAAAAGGGCCCCAAGTTATTTTAAACCTAGATGTCTCCCCCAGCCCACCCCTTTTTTTGGCTTTTGAGGGTCTCGTGTAGCCCAGGCTGGTCTCACACTTGCTATGTAGCTAAGGAATGGCCTTGAGCTGACTCTTCCTCCCTCTACTCCCCAAGTGCTGAGGGTTGGGGTCAGGGATGGTTAGGTTTAGGATACAGGCAAACAGCTTACACCCGACTTTAGACGCCTTACCTTGGCCACATCTCCATGACCTCCTTCTCATTCTCTCACCTTAGAAGCAGCTATAGAATTGAAAGCAAGATAAAATGATGGCAGTATTTATTCAGAAAGAGTGGCTGGGGGCTGGAGAGATGGCCCAGCAATTAAGAACATTTGCTGCTCATCCAACGTTTAGTTCCTAGCCCCCACATTGGGCTGCTCCCAAACACCTGTTAATTCCAGCTCCAGGGGATCGTATGCCCCCTTCTGGCTTCTACAGATGCCCACACTCATGTGTACATAGGTCTGCATGCCAGACACATGTACATACACATAATTAGAAATAAAAATCAATCTTTAAAAAAGAAAGGGTGAGTGATGGAGCTCACTTTTTTCCTGGCTGCTGCTGGAGCTGGAGAAAGCACTTCGGGGTTCAAGGGCCTCCCAGGGAGCACTCTGGATGTCCTTTAGACCACTACTGCAAAATAAGCAAACACCATTTCAAAATAAACGGAGCTCTCTGTATGGGTTTCATCATGAAATGGTCTCAGTACTCCCAGCCCTGCAGGGGCCTTCCGACTGGACACTGGTGACGTGAATGGCTTGCCCCTGGTCTCCAGACAAGGCATAGGAACAATCTCACACCTTCCTCTTTTGTTGTTTCTGCTGTCTGTTTAAGACTGTGTGATGGAACCCTATCCTTGCTTGGAAGGTTGGAGCTGTTTCAGGGTTTGGACTCTGTAGAAGATGGCAGTCAATCATTGGTCACCAGTGTCCTTTGACAGTCCTTAAAAGACACAACCCCATGACCTCCTACTCAACAGAGTGGTTGGCCTCAGTCACTGATTGATGTGCAGTCCATAGAGTCTGGTGAAGCCGTTCTCCCTAGGAACAGGAAGTGAAATCTCAAGGGCTCTCTCGTCCTTTCTGGCAAGTGCTGTATTATTCTAGAAGGAACACTGACTGTCAAGTTAAACAATTACGGATTGGGAATGTATTTGGTGGTGGAGTACTTGCTGGTCACGTATGAAGTCCTGGGTTCAGCCCCCGGTATTGAAAGGGTGGAGAAACAACTTATGGGCTGTGGTGTTTCCTAGCTCCATGACACTGGAAAACTCCGGTTACAAAACAGGGAATAGTAACAGCTGCAGACATCCCAAGACTTTCTCTATGTTCAGATTTAAACTGTTGACATAATGCATATGTACAAATGAGGCCGGGCTGGGGACAGTCACTCTGGAGTTGGGAAGCCTAGGTTTGTGCTACAGCTTCTCTTGATGGCAGGATTTTGGATACATCTCTCACCCATTGAACTTAGTTTCCCCTGTGAAGTAGGGAAGCTAGCTCCATGTCTAGGGTTTATTTGTTTATTATCTCCAGTGATTTTTTCTGAGAGTTTCTGTGGGCCAATTGTGGGCATGGCTAACAAATGTGAAAATTGTAGATAAAAATATAGTTGAAGGAGACAGCACCTAACTATGTCCCTCCTGAGATGACCCCTGGAGGAGAGATTGCATGGAGAGCCAGCTGCTAGGAAAGTGGCTTCTGGGGAGGGGTGGCCGAGCCCTGCTAAGATTGGAGCCTTGCCTTCTAAGGGGTTTGTACCATCCATTGATCTCAGAGACTCTGTCCAGATTCGTCCTGCCACCTGTCGCTGGAGCCCTCAGAACTAAATGTAGTTTTTCCAAGGTCTGGAATGTGAGTCTCCCGCCTGGGGATTGGGTCTGTGGTACAGTGTGACCTCCTGTCCCATGGTGTAATCCCAGAAGTGATAAGGCGCATAGCTTCCTGTGGAGTCATATAATTCCCTAATAGAGGAGAAGAATGGCTAGAATTCAGAAAGTAATTGTAGAGAGGACAGTGGGGCAGCAGCCTGGAAGAAATCCCATTGGCAAATGCAATGGAGCAGTGACTTCAGGGTGAACTGCTCTTGGGGACCAAGTTTTCAATCTGGGATCCTATGTTTTTGTAGCCACGTAGCACACATAGTACTTCACAAAATTCAGGTTTGGTCCTGTATTTCTCTTTGTCTTTTTCTTAGGAATCTCTGCTTCTGCTCCTGGCACTTCCCAGGGTAGGCACACACACACACACACACACACACACACACACACACCAAACAAAATCTTTTCTTTTAAAAAGCCGTCACTTACTGTTTTCTTCATTGTTCAAAGAATTTGACAAAGACCTGTTATTCTACTTGAAAAAAAAAAAAAAAAAAAAAAAAAAAAAAACTTGGTGAGGGTCAATTACCAAACCACAATGTCTAAGGGATGTGCCTGAGATGGTGCCATGCATCAGTAATTTTTTGTGTCTTTGTTTTCCTGGAGCATCCGATAATGCCTGGCATATGTAGGCCTTTAGAACTGTTTGATATGGGGGCAAAGGAGTTGGGATTAGAACTCACATGTTTGACTGCCAGGCAAACTCTTTTCATCATGTCACACCCACTTCCAAGGTTTTATAAGAATGTGTTTCGGCTGGTATTGATCTGTCTTCTGACTGTACAGCCCCACTCTTCCTGACTCAGCATTTTGGTGTTGATCTGTCTTCTGACTGTATGGCCCACTCTTCCTGACTCAGCAGTTTGCAGAAGTGAATTTAGAAAGGACACTTGCTGACAAAAGCAGTCAGACACATGGCCACAAGCTGGCCTCTGTGTGAATGAGAGGCCATCGTTGCCCGGGCCTAGGGGGGCCATCGATACAAATGTGTTAGCAACCAACCAGATCTGAGTGGCAAGGTCTTCATGTGTGTGTGGGGGGGGAGGGGTCCATATCTCCTGTGTTTAAGGAAGCCAGATGGAGGTCCAAAAAGCCCCTAAAGATGCTTCTGTTTAAACTTGTTAGATGTTGCTGCAATTTTGGTGTGATTGTTATGAGCTGTGTGGCCCATTCCGCATCCCGTCTTTGCCTGACAACGATTTGCAAAGAGCACATCTGGTTTTGGAAATTATTTATCTGGCCACGGCAAGAGGGTGCGGTTTCTAAAAATATTCACGCAGTCCAACAGCAGAAGGAATGAGTGCAATGCAGGGCTTCAGATTGCATTCCGTCCTCTGTGGAAGCATGGACTAAAATAGCACCCAGCCTAGCATTAATTTGCAATTAATAAAAACAGGCCAGATTCACATCCCACTCTGGGAGAATGGAATGCTGACAATTCCCATAGAAGGCTCCTGTAAAAGTGCCTCCCCGGAAGAGGGCCTTGCACCAGGGTCAGCTGACCTCCTCCATGAGGGCTGGGAATCTGCTGAGCTCTCAGAGCTCAGGGTAGAGGAGCAGAGGGGAGATGGTCCGCGGTTGCTGTGCTGCTGAGGAAAAGAAAAGAAGCTTTGACTGGCAAGGGACAAGATGAGATAGGAATCTTGGGCAGCTTAGTGAGATGAGGCTAGAGATCACAGACCTCATGGCTTTGCTTAGACAAGTGGGAGAACTTTGTATTCTTGCACTAACTGGTTCATTTACTCATTGTGTGTGCACATGTGTATACTCATGACATGTTTATGTTACAGTAGTCTCTGCTGCCTACAGTCGTTCATCTGTTCCCTCAGGAGCTGAATGAATACCTACTATCAGCGGTATCTCTTTGATAATAAAATACTTACCAAGTGTCAAATACTGTATCTTTAGTCTTGTGCTGGGTGTTGGGGAATTTAATTCTGAGTCAGATAGCCAGGTCCCTTTTGTGTCGCAGCTCGGAGTCTGGCAATCTGGACCAGTAGTGATAACCAGTCACCAGATGTTAAGAAGACAAAGAAGATAAGGTTCTTCCCAGAGTAGACTTGGGATTTCAGCTGGGGCTGAGAGCAATAAACAAAGGAATGCATGATGCAGTTGTCCAGTGAAGGAAATCAGGTCAGGATGGGGCTGGAGCCAGGTGGTGCTGTCCAGTGAGCTTGGTCCAGGAAGGCTCCTTTGCATTGCACTTGGACTCCTCAAATCTACAGAGCTTTCTCTGGCTTCCTGGCCATGGAACAAACTGTTCCCTCTGTCTGGAATGCCCTTTCCATTCCTTGTTGTGTGTCTGTCCCTAAGGGGTCTTCCTCCAGAAAGTTTTTCTTATCCCTTGGCAGGCCAGATGCTCCCATGCCATCTGGACATGCTAAACAGGAAGAGGTGAATCTGTCTAGCCCAGTAAAGCAGAAAGCCCTTGTGGAGGAAGTGGTGACAGATCTGAGCTCTGGAGGCTGGGGAAGGGTCCGATGGAAAGGAACACAGTGCTGAGCTTGCAGAGGAGAGGGAACTGCACTGAACTCCTGCTGGGCCAGACCTTCTGGGTGTCATTTCATTTGTTCTTCAGAATATCCTCACAGGGGTGGGACTGCCTGCCTGCCTCATTTTGGCAGGAAGGGAGATTCCTATAGCTAATCAGGAATGAGACTGACTACAAACCTCTACCCACTCCACCAGATTCCACTCTTTATTGCCAACCCCAAGATTTGCCCTCTGTCCGAAGGAAGGTCACCCAAGGGTCCTTTCACTTCCTTCTGTTAGAGTGCTGTTGACTGGCAGACAGCTGTCCAGTTTCCTCAGTTTCTTCATCTGCCAACAGGGAATAATAGTGAGAACTTTCTCCAAGGGCTGTTGTGAGGACTGTCTACAGGGGTTTGTATAGGACTCCTGCACAGTGCCGAGCTCCCATCGATGCTGCTGCTGTGATCATTGCAGTTCTTACCCACTGAGTGTGATTTTCCCAACCCTGGCTATTGTTATTGAAGATCCGTTTCCTAGCAAACACAACCGAGACTCAGAGATACAGAAGTGTCATAACTCTGTTACTGAAAGCCTGCTATATGGTCGACGTGCAGTTTGCACTTGCCAGGTGTCTGTTAATTTGTTTTCTCAACAGCCCTTCCTAGTAGATCATGGTGTCAACATCAGCTACATTTTACAGATAAAAAGTCTCAGGCTTAGGAGGGCTGGAAGTACAAGTGGTTTTTGTTACAATGCAGCTTTCTATTTCTGGGGGACTGGGGCAGGGCCTGGGAGTTTGGAGATGGTGCTGATGATGCTGGGTCATGGGCCAGGTAGGAGTAGTGCTAGACTGACTGACTGGCATGCCTCAGAACTGGGAAGGGATGGAGCTGGAGCTGGAACTAGAGTACTTTAGCTTTTCCCCGTCCTGGCATCTGGCCGCTCAAGCTGGACCTGCCTCTCTCATATACAGGTGAAGATCATATCTCTTGCTCTGAATTGGGCACTGGCTCCTTGGGCTTTACGCTCTGAGCTGGCCTCTAGCTGTTAATGGAGATGGCTATGACTTACAGTCTCCAGTCCTTTTAACAACTCTGTAGGTAAGCATTCAGAGTCCATTTTGTAGACAGACAAATGGAGTGGTGTGGAATTATTGCCTAGTAATGACAAGATCAGAGTTTAAACCCAACTATTGTGACTCAAACCTCTGATCTCTGAGTGTAGGGCCCTTCATCTAAGATACTGAAAGGGACTGGCCTACGTTCCTAAGACGCCTCGTCACAAGCTTCCTTTATTAGCAATTTAAGTCAACCAGCTGGTGCCTCCTTTTCCAAGTGAGCTTGCCATTCATAGTGACCTTTAGGTTAATTCTTTTTTGATGGTGGCAAAATATGCAGAATGTAACTTAAAACCTACTGCACTTGGGGGTGTAGCACAGAGGCAGGAAGCGCCCAGCTGTAGACCGCAGTCCTCCTCTACACTTGGACCTCCAAGCCCCTTAAGTTCTGGCTCCTTGCTTCTCTTTCCCCCAGCCCCTGGCAATCACTACCGTTCTACTTTCCATTTCTATGAATTTGTCTACTCTAGGGACCGTGTATAAATAGAATCAGACAGTGAGTGTCTTTCTGTGCCTGGATTATTTCAAACTGCACTTGTCTTCAAGGTTCACCTGTGCTGAAGTGGGGTTAAGCCTGTTGACATGTGAGTGATCCCCCCTAATTTATCTCTTTCAGTCCGATTTTCACTTAGCAGGGCACACCTCTAGAGAGGATGGATAGTCACAATGACAGTCACAAATTAAACTCATGAGCTTTACCTTCTCTGATGCCTTTCAGGGTGGAAGCTGAGCTGCAGGAGGTAGTATGACACCAGAGGGTGATTCTGACCCACTATGGGACAGGACAACAGTTTAGCACCAGCAGCAACAACAAAAACAAACAAACAAACCCCCCTAAACAGAGAGGCTTCTTTCTTCAAAGTTGAACAGTGTATCAGCAAAGAGCTGATAGTGGGGTGGGGCTGCCAAGTCCAAGATGCAGTGAAGTGATGCTGCTGATGCTGGTTCAAGGACCAGAGTGGGGTGGGACCAGCCTGACTGGCATGCCTCTGTTAGATAGAGATGGTAAGAGATGTAGTTGATGGGTGGAAGCATCCTTTTACAGAGTTGGGCAACTTTTCTTTATGATGGTCAGCAAATCTCCTTAGGACCCCCAACATTCAGCCACTTCATTTCCTGCCATTCAGGCCTCTTCTACATGGCCATCAGTTCTAAGACATAATAGCTTTTGCTTATGTTTACATTTAACCCTCAATTATTTCGGTTTTTCCTGCACTCTTGTGCATTTTGCTTTTTCTTAGGTTGCTGGTGTTTGTATTTAGTTTGAGTCTCTTGGTAGAGTAGTGTTTAGTTACAAAGGATGCCTTAAATAATGACATTTGATGGAGACTAGTACCATGACCCAAAGAAAAATGTGAGTGAAAAATGATGGAAACAATAGCAGCTTTACATTGTTGTTTGATGTTGGTCACTGTCCCTGGCTTCGAACCCAAGGCCAGTCTCTGGTTAACTAGATCAATGTGGCTCACCACCACCTGACTCATGTCAAAGGAGGGAATGACTTCTTCATTTTGTGATTCAAGTAATTTACTTGTGTGACTCCTCGGCTCCATGAACTTATTCTGTTCCTTTCTTATTGACAATTCCTGGTGGTACAGTAAATGCTTTCTCATGTATCCTGAAATCAACTACTTATCAGGACTTAAAGACAAATGTGCCATTGCTGTTGTACACGCTTTATATATACTTTATGCCCTTTGTCATGACACCACAGGGGCAGGGAAGATTCTTACTTCCATTTTACTGATGGGAGAACTGAGGCTTTTCAGGGGATTCACACCCAGTGGTGTCTCCCCACTTAGCAATAGTTAACATAAGCTCCATGTGGCTTTATAAACCCTAGAGCTGAGTGGCTCAGGGTCTGAGAATGCTGTGTGTGTGTTGTTCATATTGCTTTTCTGTCCAAGGGCCAAGAACATGGGCTAATCTAGATTTCTATTAATCTTGTGTCCACAGCAATGACAGTTTTACAGGGAGGCTGATAAGCGCCAGTCTGCGAGGATGGGAGTGGGCTGAAATATAAATACACTTCCCCCAGAGTGCCTGCCTGGCAACCAGAGATGCCCAGCCAGTGTGAAAGATCCTGGGGCAGGCGACTGTGTGCATGTGTAGTGGGTGTGCTCACACTCGTGTTTGAAAGCTCCAGTGTGCCCTAGACAGTATTGGCACTGCTGAACATATTGGCTTGTGCTGTGGCTGAGCAGAGCTGCAGCTGTAGCCTGAGGGAGTCTGAAGCCTGGGCTTCTTGGAATCTCCAGAGCTGAAGCTGGCCTGTTCTTATGATTGACAGGGCAAACTTTGTAAAGCTTCCCACTGACTTCCTGCAAGCCAGTCAGGGGCCTTGATAAGCAAGTGGAATTCAGAGCAGTTAAGTGCAAGCTGAGCCCCAAGCATGCCTTTTCTAAGGGTGGTTATGCACAGCTGCTTTGAATGCCATTCCATTCATCCAAGGATGACTTTTTTAAAAAACAAAAATATGGTTATTCGAGGGGCTTCATTCAAAAAAGTGTCTGTGGCATCCAGCCTCAGAGGCTCCCTGGGCATGTGGCTTGTCCAGCACATTGCTAGCACTCAAGTGGAAATCAGCTGGGTATAGTGAAACACACAAGGGCCTCAACTCACAAGGCTGGCTGAGACTTAAGAAATCCACAGACTGTCCCAGGGCAGTGTGGTCCTAGGACCTGAAGTGTGAGAGGTGCACATGCACACAGCTGCCCAGTGCTCATTTGTCTTCAGATGAATAACTCCAACTCCCTAACCCAGTTTTCTTGTTCAAGAGGAGTTCTTAAAAAGTTGTGTAAAATTGCCATGACATAAAATTGACCATTTTTGAGCATTAAAAATACTTAAGTCTATTTTTAAGTAGAATACAAGTATTAGGTATACTTATGCCATTTGTCAAAAAGTATATAAATAAGTTTTTGATAGAATTGGATTAGGGAATTCAACAGTGATAGATAATTGGGAGTTTTCAATAAAAGGTAATTGGGATTATTATTGTTTTATATAACTATTATTTTCATATGCTTTTTAAAATATAGTGCCTGTTCCAGTGATGAGTATTTCTTGGCCAAGGGCAGCTGCCAGGAGGGTGGCTAGGAGGGTGCTACAAAAATGTGGAACCTGCCACAGGGAACTCAGGTCTTGTAGGGAAGGCAAACATGTATATATATGTAGTATGTACAGATGCATATATGTGTGTACATACACTATATATATGCAGATATAACAGCATTGCTCTAAAGGACGTTACAGAAAACCCTTTACAAAACTAAAGTCTATACTTCAGTATATTCCGTGCAATACTAAGGAAGTGAGGCTAGATCAAACATTTACACTGAGCCTGCCTGCTAGGGAGGACTTCTGTGCCCTGTCACGTCTCATTGATGGTTTTGTCCTATTCTCACAGTAAGCCTGTGAGACAGGAAGGTGGAACCCTGGACTTCTGCTAGGGATTTGAGAGACAGTGGTGGCCCAGATGTCCTCATCTGCTGTGGGTGGTTCCAGACACTGGCGACTTCACTCTAACAGATCTCTGTGGGCCATGCTTCTCTTTACAGATTGCTGACTTTGGGCTTTCCAACCTGTACCAGAAGGACAAGTACTTGCAGACATTTTGTGGGAGTCCACTCTATGCCTCTCCTGAGATTGTCAATGGGAGGCCTTATCGAGGACCAGAGGTGAGCAGACTGATGGGAGAGCTGGAGAGAGAGGGAAGAAGGACGAGGGGAGCAAGAACTAGATCTTGGAAAGTTCCTAAAACCCCAAAGACAAAACAAAACTTGCCCTCATGTGATTTATAGGGACATTAATGTACAGGCCTGAAGAAGATGTGGGAAAGCTTAGAGAAGCCTAAAAGAGCAGATAAAGATGCCTGTTGCTACTGCAAGGCAGCTGCTTAGGATTTCTTTGCTTTTCATATTTTTTCAAAGTAACAGTTTTAGAAATAATTGATCAAATTAGAAAAGGGCAAATTATGCATACTGTGATACACACATACACATACATACACACATACACATACATACACACAAATACACACATGTGATACACACATACACACAATACACATACACACAATACACATACATACATACATAATACACACGCATACACGTACACACATACTTGCTTTTTGTCAATTTATAATTATTTTGTGACACCTCCAATTTTCTTATTAACTTGTAATTTGTAATAGCCACATGATATCTTGCTTTATGCATATATTATTACATGTTTAATAATTTCCCTGGCTTTAGACCCTTAATTTTTTCCTATTGTAAAAAAATAAACAGAGCAAAGAAAACTCTTATCAGTATATATCTCTTTTGCTCATAATTAGTAGTGTGTATATTTATGGAAATACATTTTAATGGCATCTTCTCTTTCATGAGAAATGTGTTTTGTAACATGCCTGAGAAGGACTTTTGTGGCCACTGTAAGATACACATGTGCCCTAGTTTGTTTTCTGTTACTGTAATAAACACCACGATCAAAGCAGCTTTTGGGAGGAAAGGGTTTATTTCATCTTACAGCCTACAGTCTATCCTGAAGGGAAGTCAGGCAGGAACTGACGCAGAGAGCATAAAGAACACTTTACTGGATTGCTCCTTATGGCTCACGTAGGCCTCGTCCTTGTATAACCCAGGACCACCTTCCCAGGGTTGACACTGTCCCTAGTGGACAGGCCCTTCCAAATCTATGATTAACCAAGAAAATAGCACAGACTGGTCTGTAGGTCAGTCTGATGGAGTCCTTTTTCTCGATTGAGGCCCCCTCTTCCCACATGACCTGAGCTTGTGTCAAATTGACAAAACAAACAAACAAACAAAAAAAAAAACAGCCAGCCAGCGCAGCATCTGTCAAACTTTGAGTCAGTAACTGTTCTCTTGTAAGATGGTGAGCCTCCATTGTGGTTGTTCACCCCACCCCCTCTCCTTTAGATAGCAGCTGCTTAGTGTGTAGCAGTGTTTTCTTCCGTATATTTATCCATCAAGAGGGGTTTGGTGGCAAGGCTGGGATAAAGGGAAGAATGCCAAGAATCACTAACAGTTAAAGAGAAGGTCTTCAAAAAATAAAATGTGAGGGACAAGCTTAGGGTTCATTTTGGGAAAATGTTAAAACTTGCCTGTAAATTTATTGTTGGATGCATCTTTGTCCCTTGGTGGTTGGTGTCTGAGGTTGCAGTCTGGCACTCAAGTCTGATCAGCAAACATGCTTCATTTGGCCACGTTTGTTCATCTCCCTTAAAAAAAAATGAACAAATATTTAATAACTGAGAGATTGCACAGAAAAGTCATCTTTCTGACTTCTCTGTAAAAAGCAAACACTCTGGTGGTACTGGGCCTACATTTGTACATGGCAGTATAATCCAGGAAGAAACTGCCTGCCTAAGGTGGGTGAGTGCACACTACAGTTTGTCTTAGTCCCCAGCTTTTCACATTCACACTCCAAGGTCTTTCTTGCTTTGATTTTTTTTTTGTTTATTGTCTGCCTGGCTCTGGTAGGATTTGATATGGAACCCTTGAGACCTCTGGGGAGGTAAAGGGAGGAACAGGGCATTACCTGGGAGGGTTTTTTCTGGGGAAGCCCTTTAGTGATCTTTTGCCTCTATTTTTTACTATTCTCACTTTTCAAATTGAGCTGGAAGCAATCTAGACTCTACCTGCCTCACGGAATCATTATGAGAACCAGTGACTCTTCCCTACTTCAGAGTGCTGTTAAACAGGGGCTTGTGCTGTCCTTTGCCAGGCTGTGGGAACCTGCCTTCTGGGCACTAAATCCAGGTCCTTGGGGTGGTGGTTCACACACAGCAACGCCAATGCTTTGGAAGGCACCTGGGGTCTGCATCCTAGCTCCCATGTGTCCTGTCTCTGTGTTCCAGGTGGACAGCTGGGCCTTGGGTGTCCTGCTTTACACTCTTATTTATGGAACGATGCCCTTCGATGGCTTTGATCACAAAAACCTCATTCGACAGATCAGCAGTGGAGAATACCGGGAGCCCACGCAGCCCTCAGGTGTGTGTCCCACAGAGGTCGGGAGTCAAGGGGAGAGCATTTGGTTTATCTGCCCCAGGTCACACTCTTTCTGGATTTACAGGACATCTCCTGATGTTCTCCATTCTTCTTTCATGACAGTTCCTTGGAAAGCTGGCTTTTTAGGTTTGCCAGGCTGCCCCTGTGAGATGTTCAGAGAATCCCAGGAGCCCTTCTTGTTTCTACATTCTGTAAAAACATGGCAAGCCAATTCTCTGCCATAAATTAAAGGTTGGAAAAGCTTTCTATTACCTAAGGCCCCTCACAGGCCATGTAGATATAAATCCCCTCCTATAATGGTAAGGGCCACAAGGGTGGCTATAGTCTGTGTTCTGTCCCTCCAGGTTCCTCCAACCTTTAGCCCCAAATAAGCACACAGAGACATATTAATTATTGAATTGTTAGCTGATGACTTAGGCTTCTTATTGGCTAGCTCTGTCTTAATTATTAACCCACTTCTAATAATATATGTATTGCCACAAGGCTGTGGCTTACCCATAATCCGATAGGTGGTCTCTGCTCTGACATTTTCACTACTGTGTCGACTGCCTGAGCTGCGACTCATAGACACTGTTACATCATTTCTTCTTGCATAGTAACCATTTTGCCCTAAAACAAACCTATTTGCTTAAGCAACCACCATGGGCTCTTATCTGTCCTTTGGGTGTGGCGGCCTGCTTCTCTGGCCTCACTTGGGGTCTCTGTACCTTTCAGTCTTCTGGGAGTTGAGGTTGCTGCTGGGGCTGTGTGTCTGTCCTAGTTAGGGTTTTGTATTGCTGTGAAGAGACACCAAGACTAGGGCAACTCTTATAAGGAAAATATTCAATTGAGGGGGGCTCGCTTACAGTTTCAGGGGTTCAGTGCATTATGATCATGAAGGGGAGTGTGGTGGTATGCAGGCAGATGTGGTGCTGCAGCTCAGAGTGCTACATCTTGTAAGCAACAGGAAGTTGACTGACTGTGACACTAACTGAAGCTTGAGAAAAGATACCTCAAAGCCTGCCCCCTCTGTGACACACTTCCTCCAACAAGGCCACACCTAACAGCGCCACTCCCTTTGGGAGTCATTTTCTTTCAAACCACCATAGAGTCCCTAACTTCTGTGCCTGTCTATGTGGGTTCTGCCTCTGAAGTGCCTCCTGATTGCTGGTCATTCCAGAACAGAGCCCGGATCCCTGACTTGGCGGCTAGGGGCTCTGAAGAGGGACACGATGGCAGGAATTCCTGTTAATTGTGCTTAGCTACTAGGCTCTGTTCCCATTGGTATTTTTTCCTTGGTTAGAGTGACCAAGGTCAAAAGTTCTACCTCTTCATGGGAGACCACCAGGTGTGTACAAGAGTGCGAACAGGTGGCCAGCACAGAATGTGGTTAATATTTGTATACATTCCATTTAATGTACACACAGTTGTTTTTTGTAATTATTCGCAGTTGTTTTATAAAACTATTACAAATACAAATTGAGTGAATATCAAACCATTCCTTGACTCTAGGGAACACACAGACTTAGCCTTAAGTCTCCAAACCTGGTATTTTTGTCTTTATCAATATGTAACATTTTGTTGGTGTATTTATGTTTAAGGACACCTTATTTAGTATATATTTTTTGATGTTAAAAACTCAGTGACCAAAGGCACTTTTACTCATGTCTGAACGAAGTTTATCTACCACACATGATTTCTCCTGAAGCTTTATCATGGTGTTTTTACACTTGAGGACAAGTAGATAGAATTTCTGCCTTGTGTGTTTGGGGGGGGTGCGTTTTAAATGTCAGACTTCTATCAAGAGGAGCAAAAATGTAACAGACCCAGAGGGAAGCACATAGAGAAAGGGCTGCTTATTTACAGCCTGAGAGCAGCAGCCAGAGTGTCAAACATGCTTTCCCAGAGCCCTAGGACCTCACTGCAGCCAGAGTGTCAAACATGCCCTCCCAGAGCCCTAGGACCTCACTGTTCTGCCTACACAGGATGCCTACAAAACAGCTGTGGGCATTGACTTGGGACTTGCAAATAAATTTATGTCAATTTGTCAATGTAGAAAGATGAGAACTAACATGGAGTAACATGGGTGAATAGGTAGGTAAGTGATAGATAGATGAGGAGAAGGAGAGGGAGAGGAGAGAGAGAGAGACAGAGAGACAGAGAGAGAGAGAGAGAGAGAGAGAGAGAGAGAGAGAGAGAGAGAGAGAGAGGAGAGAAAGAGAGAGAGTTAATCACTAACTGGCACCAGCAAACTTCCTGGCACCCTGGTAAACTTCCCTGCACCTTGTAAGAGTTCAGGATATCTTGCCTAGTGATTGGTCATCCTATCCCTTCTCAGGACTGTCCATCAGATCACTCTGTCCCTATTGCTAGACTGTGCCAGCCTCTTATCAGCTTTCATACATGGCTGAGGGGAGGAGGCAACCTCCCAGGGTATAACTCAGAGCCAGGTGACGTACAGGACACAGCTTGACTTTGAAAGTTAGTTTATCAGCTCTAAGGTCGGCTCCTGTGTCTTCCTCAGCATCCTTGGGGGGCCTTTCCCCTGTATCGCTGGCAATAGGATCTACACAGGAACTTTCTTTTTTTCCCTTTAAGAAAGGCTGTGGCCACCTGGGTAACAGATAAAGATCAGCTCTCATTTGGTGGGTACCAATAGGGCTTACATCAGACACAGGAGGTGAGCTCACTGGGTGTGGCCCCCAGGTTCTGGCTAAGACCTTGGGAGTGGGGCCAGCCATGCAGAAAGCCGTTCTGCCTGCCCAGGTGTGTCAGGTAAGAGACACACCTGGCACAGGTGAGTGGCTCTCCATCCTCAGCTTCCAGAAACTTTTCCAGGTGACTTGGGACTATGTTTATATGTACGTACTTTGGAAGGCTTCTGGTGAGCACCTGCTTTCTGTTTTGGTAAGAATGATACAGACCAAAGAGGCAGTGAGATTGAGTTTGAATTCTTTCCCAATCACCTGGCCTTTTGTACTTGGTGCAGATGTGGGATGACAGTGATGTCAGTAGTTCCAGGACATTTCTTTATGTGTGGAAAAGCAGATCATAGCTGGTGGGGGTAGGTAGCACAGGTGATAACTGCTTGCCTTGTAGACGTGAGGATGTGAGTTTGATCCTAAGAACTCACCCCAAAACCCCTGTCATGGCAATGCACAATTAAGAACCCACTGCTGGTTGGTTATAATGGATGGTGGAATACCATGTCGTAAAAGAAAAGGGATGATGGGCTTGAGGAAGGGTTGCAGAAGTTGTCCTGTGGCCTCCACATACACACAGATATATGTACCAGCACACACACATGCACTTGCACACATTTGAAGATGCACCACAGAAAGACAAGGAAAGAAAGTCAAGATGGGACTGCTCTGTGGCTTGTGGTCCTAAGCCTTTGGTAGGTTTGTATAAAGAATTTGGCTTCCTGCTTCAGCATGAGGCCGGAACACTACTAATGGACTCTCTCTCCCCCTTTCCTCCCTGCGGCCCCCTCTCTCTCTCTCTCTCTCTCTCTCTCTCTCTCTCACTCTCTCTTTTCTTTTTCCTGCCTGTGCATGTCTTTGTAACCATTCATGGAAAGTCGTCCTGCTGAAAGCTCCCATGATAGCCTGAGTCTTTTTGTCTTTCACCCCTTAGATGCTCGAGGACTCATTCGGTGGATGCTGATGGTGAACCCCGATCGCAGGGCCACCATTGAGGACATTGCCAACCACTGGTGGGTGAACTGGGGCTACAAGAGCAGCGTCTGTGACTGTGATGCCCTTCCTGACTCTGAGTCTCCACTCTTGGCACGGATCATTGATTGGCACCATCGTTCCACCGGGCTTCAGGCTGAGACTGAAGCCAAGGTGAAGGGTCTAGCCAAACCCGGAGCCTCTGACATTGTGCTGGAGCGGCAGCGGTCACTGAAGAAGTCTAAGAAAGAGAATGACTTCCCCCCTTCTGCCCAGGACTCCATACCTGAAAGCCCATCCAAACTGAGTTCCAAGAGGCCAAAGGGCATCTTGAAGAAGCGAAGCAACAGTGAGCATCGCTCCCACAGCACTGGCTTCATAGAAGGCATTGTGGGCCCTACCGTACCGTCTCCTTTCAAAATGGAGCAAGATTTGTGCCGGACTGGTATTCCCCTCCCCAGTTCTCCTGAGGCAGATTTGTCAGGGAAGCTCAGCCTCAAACAGTCAGCCACAATGCCCAAGAAAGGCATCTTGAAAAAGACCCAGCAGAGAGAATCTGGGTACTACTCATCCCCAGAGCGCAGTGAGTCTTCAGAGCTGCTGGACAGTAATGACGTCATTGATGGCAGTGGCCTCTCTTCCCCTCCCCCAGATGCAGCCAGGGGAACTTCCCACAGCCTGTCCTGTCGCAGGAAGGGTATCTTGAAACATAGCAGCAGGTACTCGGACGGTGCCACAGACCCTGCCATCACCAGTTCCGAAATGCCCACACTGGAATCCTTGTCAGCTCCTGGTGTCCCCTCTGAGGGCGTCTCTCGGAGCTATAGCCGCCCGTCCAGTGTCATCAGCGATGATAGTGTGCTGTCCAGTGACTCCTTTGACTTGTTAGATCTACAGGAGAATCGTCCAGCCCGCCAGCGCATCCGCAGCTGTGTCTCTGCTGAGAACTTCCTCCAGCTTCAGGACTTTGAGCCACCACACAGCAGGCCCCGGCCCCAGTACCTGAAGCGGTACCGGAACCGGTTGGCAGACAGTAGCTTCTCCCTCCTCACTGATATGGACGATGTGACTCAGGTGTATAAGAAAGCGCTGGAGATCTGCAGCAAGCTCAACTAGCCCCTCAGGGCACAGAGCATGGGATGGGATGGGGTGGGGGTGGGTTTAAGGGAGGAGGGAAACAGAACTCAGCTTCAGGCTGGTTACCTCTTTGCTGGCCATGGCAGTGGACTGGAAAAGAACTGTTAACTGGTAAGGTCTGGCCCCGCCAGGGTTCGAAGCCTTGACTCAGCACCTAAAAGGGATGGAAATGGTTCTTTATCAGTTCTGCCAGCTGCCAGTCAGAATGTGGGTCCTAACTGGCATTCCCATAGGGCATCTCACACAGGATTGGCTCTCCAGGGAAGGTGGCGTTGAACAGCATGAAGTGGGAGGGGGCATATGGGGAAGGGAGTGTTTCCCCTAGAGGTCATCTAGGCATTTTTGGAGGAGGGGCAGGAAGACTGAGAACACCTGCTTTGGATGAATACCTTAGCAAGCCTGGTCTGACTGCGTAGATGATAGCAAGATTCCAGCACCCTGAGCTTGACTTGGTGATCAGTTAGCATCTGTACTGTATGCTGATTTGAGTGGCCTAGGCACAACACTGGGTGCTGTGATTGGGTACCAGGGGGGTCCAGAATGTGGGAACAGCATGGCCTCCAGGACTAAGTCCTGGGAGCTGGGTCACAGCACCCTGTGGTGCCTGCTGACTCCATCATGGCATTTGTTCATTTGCTCCTGAACCTTGAGTGGAAGACAGGGGGACTTGCTTAGACAGTGGATGCTTTGAACTCTGCTAAGAACATAGTTAGGCGATGCTAAGTTTTGGCTTCCCAGGGTCTGCCTCATCTTCCCTGCTTTGTTCTTTGGCATCACCTGAAAGTGGGCAAAGAGGAAGATGGAAGTGTGAGGGGCCAGGGCATTTTGAATGACAGTTCAATGGAAGGTGAGGCACGTTAGCAAGGGCATCTTTTCACTTTCTTAAATGTCTCAGTATTAACTGGAACGTTGCCTCTTGGCTTCTCATCTGCATGAATGCTTTAATTGGGTGGGAGGCTGTCGCGGCCTCCAGAGGGTTAATGGCTCAGCCGCTGGCCCATCCACCTACAAGTGTGGAACCTTAACAGTAGATGGGTTGCTTCTAGGGAGCTAGTGTGTAGGTGGGCGTGTGGCTGGGGAAAGTGTGGTTTGATAGAAGCTTCTTGGCTCCTCTAACCTAAATGTTCTGTCTCATGGCTTTGTTCTCCTGCACTATGGGGAGAAAACAAGTTCCATCCATCCATGGAACAAGATGTTGAAAGAGAAGAGTGTTGGGGAGAGGCTTAGGGACATTGCTTCAGGAGTCATCCAGATGGTTCTGGAGGAGGCAGAAAAGAGGTGTGAAGGGATGCTTAAAAATGGTCAAGCTAGTTATCTAATCTCCCAACACTAAAATTACAGGTAACGTCATTCCCACGGTGGACATCCTGGGGATCCTGGGACTGAAATGGTCTTTTGGGGCTGACCTTGGAGTCCACTGGCTTGGGTAAATGAGAAGCTTTATTCTAAGGTGGCTGCCTTCTGATAGCCTCTGGTGGGGCAGGGACAACACATCTTGGGAAGTTTTAGGAACAACACACCACTGAGAACAGTTGTCAGGAAGATGTCATCTTATATTTCTGAAAATGGTTTTTCATCTCTATGTGTGCCAGCCACTCCCGATGTTTAGGCCTGTGCCTTGTTTTGGGTTGAGCTGAGCAGAATACTGTGGGAAGCTGCTTGGGTTCCTTTCTTTGAGTTTCACCTCCTTCCTGAATTCTGATAGGGGCTAAAAGGGAGAAGAGTCTGTCAGCAGAGAACTGGGTTCGAGGGTTTGGGTGGAATAGAGGCAGCATCCAATCCCCTGTCTCCTTGCCTCAAGCGTCTACACTGCTGGCCGCTGAGCATGGAACTGGTCTCAGGAACACCAGCCATTGGTGATTGGTGTCATGTGTCTGTTTAGGATTTCCCATCATTCTAATGTCTCCATTAGGAAAACCGTCCTCTGCCTTCTCTCTTCCTGGTCACCAGTGTGTTCTTTTTTGTCAGCACATTGGATGGAAAAGCAATTGCTTCCCACCTGTTCCAGGGCAGACACTGAATGCAGTCCAGGACTGCTGTTAGCTCTGGAGGTCCTCAGGCCCCAGCAGTGGTGTGAGATAGAGCTGCTTCCTATGTTTGGAGGCTGGAGAAGTGGGTGACTGGTTTCCTAAGGCCAGGCTCGGTTCTGACACCTGCTTCTCAGTGACATAGATGCTGATGGTCCCTGCAAAGAAAAGAGTTAGAATAGAGGAGAGCCCTAAAATGCATCTTCCCAACTAAGTCCTGTTACCTACAAGCCAATCCCCAGCCAAAGAAGGTGTGCTTGATTCATTTCCATGGAGTCACTAGTGAGAGACACTTTGATGACCCGATGGGCAGGATGGGAGACGGCTGCCAACCCTCCTGGTCCTTCCTTTGCTCCTGGGGCCCTTTCATTGTCCTCGTTTACACATCTGCCAAGGGGTGGAGTAGTACTTCGTTTTACAGGTAAATTTCAAGGCACAATCAGTTTTTAGGGAAGTGCTTCAAGACCTTGGCGACATGACAGTGCTAAATTCCCGCTGAATTTGGTCTCTGTTGCCAGGTGCTCTTTACCGAATGAGCGCTCGCAGGGTGAAATTCAGGCATAATTTGCCCAGGCCTGCTGTCTTGAGTACAAATGTGAATGATGGGACTGACTGCTTGCTGCCAAACTGGAAATGTTTTGTGGGGATTTACTGGCATGGTATCATTCCTAGGAAAAAGAAGAAAAAAAGAAAAAGAAAAAAAAGGATAGGAGAGTGAGAAAACTTGACTGCACATTTTTTTAAAAATCCATGTTGTGACTTTTATTTAATTTCTATATTTTTTGGTAATAAAAAGTTGACTTTAATTTGAATTTGTCTTTTTTATTTATTGGTCTAAAAGGCATTTCAAAGGTATTATAATAATATATTGGTGTAATTTAATTGGTGCAGCATGGCTTTATGGCTCCAGTCAAATCTGTTTCTCACGTATTTGACTGGTTTGCAAACAGCCTGCAGGGAGAGGAAAAGAAAAGCTGGCTAATCCCCCAAAGTGTTCATTTTTCATTGGAATCTGAGTTTTGTCATTTTTGTTTCTGTTTTTATTTTTAAATTAAATAAAATGCAATGAACTGAACCAGGGCCTTGTTTTGCTGGTTGTTTTTCCTTACTCAAGTAAATGACACAGTGGGTACAAGTGCCAGAAGTCTACCCATGCTAGTCTAAGACCCCAGGGGGCGTGACCTGCAGTACATTGGAACGAAGGCCTACAGTGGGACCTGAGGTAACTGTGCTTGCTTTTTCTGTGTCTCCTAGCATGTGGGTGCATACGTGTGTGTGTGTGTGTGTGTGTGTGTGTGTGTGTGTGTGTGTGTGTGTGTGGGGTG